GAGCAGAAACTGTTCAAAACAAAAACTTGAATTTGTTGTGGATGTAAATTTATTTGTCTAGACAATCTTTTATTATTTCAGATTACACTCCGTATCAGTCGAGAGAGTTTCATAGATAAAAATCCCATCTTCCTTTTTCCACTAATTTGCATCTAGTTATGTAAACAGTTTGGTCCAAGCTCCTTTTCTACAACATAATTTCCTTCCTAAGTTTAGACTGCCTGACGTAAGCTATTCCCCTTACTGAGACAAAAGCCTCCAATGGCACATTTATTCACTTTTTTAATAAAAATTAAACGTAACCCAGCTATTTTGGAGTATTCAAAACGCCAATAATTGTCTGTAACTCGACAATTTTCCCGAGTCCAGATCATCATTTGCTCTTCATCTAGACTCTAAATTCTAACTTTTAAAAGTAGTAGTGAGAAAAGACATTATCGAAACAAAGTTATTCTTGCTTTTTTGTGAGTTTATTGTGTTTCCTTTAGTTTTTCCCCTCCAGTGACCGACAACTCAAACGTATTTCATGCATGATAGCACGAACTTTTTTCTTCTCTTGTGTTGTAATCATTCTCAGTAATAAAAGCTGTTCGTGATTTAAAAATTACTTGAAGTGAAAAGTGACTTTAATCTCCTTCTAGCAAGAAACTGAGATTATTCCATTAATTTTGAATAAAAGGATGTTTTAAACCCCCTTGAAACAGTTCCTATTTTACATAATTAAAGCACATGTATTTAAAGTACATTGGGGAAACGAAGTCCAACTTAGAATAAACAGTTTTTAGGCATAAGCTAAACAAATTATTGTTTTTCATATTTGTTTTTTTAGGCTTTTTTGCGAGCTACACAAAAGATACGATCTCCCAGTGATATTGATGTAGTTTGCTTCTTAGAGAAGTAATTTACAAAAAAATTTACAGTGGAGCTTGGGACAATTCATTTAAAGTGTGACATTTCAACCTTACCTTGCATTTCGCTTTGTGAAGCCGAAGGTTTGTTTTCGACGCCCTTAAAGCCATTTGCGTGTAAAGTTTGAAAGCAAAACGAAAAAGGTTTGGTTTTATACCCTAGTGGTTTTAGTGAAGCAGGTATCATCCCTAGTCTGATGTTAAGTGAAAATTCTGATTAAAATTTGACCATATATTTATAAAAAAAACAAAACAAAAAAACAGCAGCATCGCATTCACAAAACAATTTAAACAAAATGATAAAAATAACGATTATTATTCAATTTTGTTTACTTGGACGACATTTCATTTTGTTAGTTGCTGTTTCTCAAGCTATCGAGTGATCCAGAACTAGAGTTCAAGCTCGTGTTTTTGATCACTCACTGCTATTCACGCCTCAAATGTCGCTTGCTTATTAAATATCTTCTCAGAGGGAATGACACACAATCAGTTGTCAATTAATCTTTCTTCGACTCGAGAGTCATCTAATATAATATACAATATTGGAAAACATTGAGAAGATATTCGTCAAATTTGGCTGAATAATTAATTGCTTATGATTTTTTGAAATGATCGTCTAAACAGTATTTCACACAAATTATGCAAGATGGATATACCTCTTCTATCACGAGCCAGTGCTAAGGGCACCTTATACTGGGAGTTAGAAGGTTGCAATTGTCTCCTAACAACAACCACACAATTTTGAACTCACGCAAACATCTGCTGTCTTCTTTGTTAGAAAATTTGACGAGTTGGAGTTTTTCTCTGACATTTGTAAGTGACGATATGGTAAGCAAAAGTATAAAAAGAATAACCCATCCGCCTGGTATTAGTGTGCTACAACAACCACACAATTTTGAACTAACGTAAACATCTGCTTTCTTCTTTGTTAGAAAATTTGACGAGTTGGAGTTTTTCTCTGACATTTGTAAGTGATGATGTGGTAAGCAAAGTATGAAAAGAACAACCCATCCGCCTGGTATTAGTGTGCTAAGCGAGATTATTGGAAATCATCTTATCTTTTTACAAAGACTAAAAGTAAAAGTACTTTTGTAGGAAATGGACACAGATTTAAAAAAAAAAACTGAGGTAGCTTATATTGAGTTCTTAACATTAGTGTCTCCAACCTTGTTTACTTATTAATTTATCTACACATGTAATTGAATAGTCACGACTCAGTAAACGATCTTAAATAATTATCACTCATGATCTGTTAGGAAGAGATAAATTCAAGTCAAAGGAAGGAAAAGAGGCAGTAAAGAGGTAGTAAGATTTAACTATTCTCAAAAACGTGCGCACCAGGAGAACTTTCCTTCCGCTGTTTACATTTTCCTTTTTATGCTTATTTCCTCAACAATTATAGGGAAAGTGAAGTTCTGATTGATGAAGCATACGTTTCTATAAATCAGCTTAGAAACAAAAACATTTCGGTGCTCTTCAGAGTGTCTTTTCATCCAACATAAAAAAGAAATTAATGTCTTTGTTTTCATTTTTTAAATCCCGTGTACGATTTCAAAATAAAAATTTTATTCTTTTCAATGGATCAGGTTTTTTTATTTTTATTTTTCTTCTTGAAAGGTGCTTTATGGGTGAAAACAGATCCTAATTGCTTTATAGTTTTGACTACAGCGTAAATTTACATAACTCCCCTGGTTCAAATCCGGTTTGACTGGATTTCACGGTTAGTATACATTTAACTGTAACGCAGTTAGGCATTCGAACATACGATAACAGCCTCGTTTAGGACAAAGAATAATATTTCTTCATACGTAAGTTTATCTAGTTTTTAATCAAGTTTTCCCTCTTCAATCAACTGTTGATCACAAAGGTATGTTTTTCTCTTCTTCGTGACCACTGTTGATATTTTTAAAAAATCACAACTCTGAAAAGTGCAAGTGACACCGAGATTCTTCCGACGAAATTCGTCGGAAGATTTTTTACGGCGATTTTGCATCAATATGCAACAGTCGTTGCCAATTTGTTTAGGCCCTTGATTTGTATCTCATATTTCTGCTCCTCAAATGAACTGAAATTTATAACTAGTTGGGTCAACAAAAAATAGACAGCGACTGAGTTCTGATGACACGTGGAATGACATTGAGCTTTTCAGATAGTCACTTAGTCATGAACCTTTAAAAACCCTTTGGTAGTTGTTGATATATTCCTGCATCAGACTAATGGTCAAATGAATCAAACTTGGTTCAGATGTGATTAGCATTTTCCATCTGGCACAAATGCGCAAAGTGTAATGCACTTGAACAAAATACTTCATTAAACCCACTCATTTTAACCTTAATTTCCAATGCCATAATTTCAGAAAGTTGTCTTAATTTTTGTTCGCCCTAATCATGCAACAGTTTTCGAGCGCAAAGGAGAGACTCTGAACAAACCAAAAAAATTATAAAACACTTTGGCTGAGATAAGGAAATATCCCTTCGCTTTACTCAAAAGACATCAAATTTTGGCCCATGAAGAAGATATGAAAAAGTCCATCCATCGAAAACAAATTGTGCGGCAAGCCCCTGATGCAATTAATCCATTAAAGTAAGTGGCCCGAGGTGTCTCCATCTAATGATTCAAACAAAGGCATTTTCTTTTTTACCTTACCTTAAAAATGATCAAAGAGGGAGTTTTTAATATCATATAATTTTTTGATATCACAGGTAAAAAATATCGATTGTAAGTAATCTCTGCAATCCTACCTATACTGTAAGCCTTCATCGTACAAAACAGAATCTAATCAAAAGTCTACGTGATACTTAATATTTCACATTTTGAAATCAGCCTTGACAAGCCCTGAACACTAATAGGAAATTGTCCCTAAAAAGCAGAGCGAATTAAGAACAAATTTTTTTTTGTTATTGAGACCTCACCATGCACTGCCGACGATTGAAAACTTTGCGACTAATACAACTGTCTCCTGAACATTTATGGGTTTTAACGCTAACCATTTGCCAGCACAAATAGTAACTTTATTTATAACTCTAGTTGGACAATATTCAAGTACCTCTGTGCAACAAAAGGATTTTAGTTCCTAACAATACCAGCACAGTAATTTCCTTAGATGAGATTTTCATCTTTTTTCTTTGTCGGTCGAAGACTAACCAATCGTGTCAAACCTTCCCGCGGGAGGGTATGCGCATGACAACATTAGCCAGCGACCACCGAACCGCCGCATGAAAGCCAACCATATGGGACCCATAATGTTTTCTTGGGAACCGATTAGAAAATGTAAACGTTAGGGAAATTTCTTGAACCAAATGAGAGTATATATAAAAAAAAATTACTTATACTTAGTACTTATTTTAATTTCTCTGTTATTTGGGTCGTAAGAGCAGTGCCTTTGATTCGTGAGAAATATTTACATGTAACACGTGCCAAAGTCTTTTTTAATACAAGTTAGTATAATCCCAGGCTTTGCAAGACAAAAAAGAATAGTTTTCTATGTTGAAAACTCATTTCTGTGGTCATCAAACTAGCTTCAACTTAACCTAGTCGGCGATACACGAACAAGTAAATTTTCGTTTTGGTTGAGTAAAGGATGGGTTAATCACTTCATGTTTGAGTGTTGGAGTGAAGCAGTTAAGAAAAGGTGAAAATTTCTCATTAAGTTGAAATGTCAATAGTGAATCCTTCCCTTTTTTCGGTGAAATAATTTGTAGGAGTTCTATATCAGGGCTAAAATAGCTCATACGTGCCGACCTCAGTTTCCGCAAAGTTGCAGGTATTATTTACAATCGGTCATTAAGTCTGTAGGAGATGCTTCAAACTAAAGTATATATTATTGAATGCCAAACGGTAAGCTTTGGCGGTCTTATCTGCAGTTTTTATGAAAGGTCTACTTCACAAAAATTTCATTAACACGGATGCTGTACTAATTGCCCCAAATCCTTTACGATATATTAGTCGGAAAAGAATAAAGAGCCCTTGTCAAGAGTTTTCTCAGCTGATTGCGTGGAGTTTTAAACCAGAATGATAAGTGAGTACGATTTAGAGCAAGTTGATTCTGGTCGGAAAGTTACGGTTTAAAAAAAAACAGTTCTCTTATATGAAAGGAGTTATCTGATCGGCCAGTTTTGGTTGATGGTAAACGTCCTTAACAGAGTAAGCGGGTCGATTCTGGAAAGCAATTCAGGTAAAGGTAATTTAAAGTGCTCTGGTATAACTTACGCCGGACAAATCCTTTAGTACGTTGTTTTCGCTCTTTCTGATTAGATTTTATTTTTCTTGTCATGGAAGAGTTCATTTTTCCTGAGCCATCAAAGTAAAAATGATCCAAATGTTTGGTTAAATGGAACCATCTTGGACTGAGTAATCATTCTTTAATTCTTTTCGAGTCGTTATGCCTTTTGATACAATATAAACAAACTGGTGGCTAATCCGAAAAGATGACCAGCTTTTTGTCGAAGGTTAAACTACAGAGCTCGACACCAAATCAAAGTCATTTTGATTCGTGAGTAATCACTCCGAAATAGTGAAATATGAAAGCAGCAGATTTTGAACAGCAGCCTTCAGGTGAACAACGAAACGCCGCCGCCTTGAGTTCTACGAACCTTTTTAAAAACCGAAAATTCAGAAACGTAATAATTCAAACCAAATCCACGAACTTTCACCGTTTAATGTAAAACGCATTGTCTTATCAATATTATTTTCAGTTCTTTGTGACTAAAGAACACTTTTTTCGCCGGAGCATGTTCCATTTGTCGAAACAATTCTGATAATCGAAAAATGCTCAGGCATTTCGGAGCCATACACAGCAAACTTTTGATTGTTTACAACTTGAGAGTAAGCACGTTTGAATAATATCTATGTTTTACCTTCTCAAATCTCTCTCAATTTTCCTGAGACAAGTGAATTTAAATACTGTCCACTGTTCATGGTTTTACCGTTGCAAATTGTTGTAAAGCGTTTTCAAGGCTTGATATTTCAAGCATTTTTAGGTTTACCTTTTGTTTTATTAAGTCTCGCCTTTTCGCCCCTACGTGCTATTTTGATGAATCTATAGTTTTGATCATTTATTTTTAGTGTGTGCTTGAACTTAGCTCAGTTCTCACCGTGCTAGACATTCTAATCGCTTGTTATGGTTGAGGATAGCTAGTTTGCTAGGTGGTCATGTTTGAGTTGGTAAAACTGACCTTGAGTCTTAACCACACTGAACATCCTGTTTTGGAAATTCCCACGGTTAGCTAACCCAAACATGTCTGTGATTTTTGTATTTAATACTGGAGCACTCCTTGCTGAAAGTAGTAGAAAATAAGCAGTGGAGAAAGAGAGAGAAAATTAGCTGTAGTAGAAGCAGCAGTTTAGGAGAGTAAAGAAGAAAATTACAGAGTCTCAGTATCTCTTGTTAATTCGCCGAGCGAGTGGTAAATTCCCCGCAACAAATTATTTCTGGGGGAATATAAACTGACATTGAGCCTAGTAACAACCAACAATTGGTGCGAAAGACAGAGCAGCCGCGTTTTTGGCGGGATAAAAAGGCAATCCGACAGTCCCCCTAGAGATGTTCCGATCGAATTTTATTTCTCTCTTCGTTCGAGGAAAAATTATCTCATACCACATGCACATCAAAACTTGGAGGGTTTTTTCGCAGACCCGAGCTTTCATTTGAGAATTTGTGGGGGAAACCATCTTTTCTCGATTTGATAAAGAGGCATGAGGCATCTATCTGAGTCTTTTAAATACTTTGTAGCTTATCCTTCAAACGAAAACAAAAATATGATTATAACATTTTTCATTTTTTTTTTTTTTGTTATGGTTTTCAGATTCCTACATAGCCGAACGTGTACCTGCAAGAATATAAGATGGGTCTCGGAGCAAACCACTGTAAAGGAGTCTGGGCACCGAGAGAAGTCTCTCTGACCACTCTGTCTGTAGCTGCCGTGTACTGCCTTATCACAGTGCCTGGTAATCTCCTAATCATCCTGTCAGTTCTTCTAGACCCCAAAAAGAGCCTCCGCCGTACACCTTACATTCTCCTGGTACTAAACCTAGCCATCACTGACTTGATAGTTGGTGCTATGGTCGAGCCATTTTCAATGTACACCCATGTAAGGGAAGCAGCCCGCCTGTCAATCAGCTACTCATGGCTGTCACAGTTTGTGTACTTTATATGCTGTACCGCTTCCCTTCTGAGTTTGTGCATCCTGACCATTGACAGGTACCTAGCCATTATTTCGCCCATGTGGTATCGTGTCAACATGACCAATCCAAGAGTCACCCAAGCGTCCGTTTTTATCTGGCTCTTGTCGTTTGCTAGCAGCGGTTTGCTGTTTGTCACAGGATTTGTCATGTATGCCTTCATCTTCGCCATCCTGACGCTTTTCTGCGCGATTTTCATCTTGGTGTTCACGTACGTTCGTATATTTGTGGTTGTGAAGCAAAAGGTCAAAGATCTGAATAATTTGCACCAAGGCGATGCTGAAAGGAAAAAGGCCCAAGAAAGAAACATACTATGGGAGAGAAAGTTAACGAAAACCCACTTGGTGATGTTGCTGGCGTTCCTGGCCTGCTACGGCCCAGCGTGTATCATGATTTTCCTGATGAATCTGTGCAGCAGCTGCAGCTGTGACGTCATTCACTGGCTAAGAGATATGCATTTTGTGCTGATCACGTTCAATTCTTTAATCAATCCCTTTGTGTACGCGCTGAGGTTGGCTGGGTTCAGGGAGGCGATCCGTCACTTGCTACTCTCTTGTTTTTGCTGGAGAGGAGGAGCAGTGGCGTCGTATAACGATCAGGAAGCGTCGTACACAGCAGAAACCAGCATCACTCGATCTACGACGCTCTCTGTACCTCAGCCAGTGCAAAATGAATCCTCGTCTGTCGCTTAATCACTTTGCATATCTTATTCCAACTAACTCTCATCAATTACCCCTAACAGAGTCACGCGTAAAATCTTCCTCTTGTTCAATATCGTCTGCATAAATAGTAAAGAGAGGCTAGCAAACCGGGGGGGGAGGGGCTGAGTTGAGAAATATTTACGCGTCATGTGTGCTTTGATTAGCAATTAGTCCACAAGCGCGTTGGATATGAGAAGATACATGGCCAATGAGTCCAAGTTGGCTATAATCATCTCATGTCCAACATACGCGAGAATAATAATTGTTTAATTAAAAATGCCCCAAAATATGGATAAAAACAAACAAAATGCTATGCTGTACAAAAAAACACTTCTGGTTTAACTTGTCTTCATGCGCACGCCAGGCATATTGGCTTGTAAACCATGATGACTAAGCCAACGAAAACTCTTGAATTGTATTATCCAATGATCCAGTTTTTAAGAACAGCATTTCAAGCTTCACGAAGGGAAAACTTAAAATATAACTTTACTTAGACATCCTGTAAAATTCACGCGTCACACATATTAATCCTAGGCTTTATCATGTTTCTCTTTGCCACCCTCTGAAGATCTTTTACGCTCAAAATTCTTTTCAGTTATTGCTGACTGCACCTAATGTACTCGTGAGAGTCAAAGACGAGGGCGTCTTAGGGTAAATGGAGGTGTTATCGATGTTTAAGGATATTTAGGATAGATCGAGCAGACTTTCCCATTCACTCTCCATAAGATGCATGCCACGCTATAAGCTTATATTCACTGAAAGCTACCACATTGAACTTGGTATGCCTGTGGTAAATAATAGCATCCCTATATTGACGTAGATATCCTTAACGCAAATAGATAATCTAGAAGGATATCCAATAAGAATTCTACAACCGAGTTTAAGGCGGTAATTCGCCAACTTGTTTTGCTCTCGTTGAGTTCTTAATAACTTTCATTATCCCTGCAAGTTGAAAACAGTATCATGCTTGCTGAGTCAAATAATAAATAGACAACCGTTGACATACATGCTTGGAATGGGACACCCGTCCAAGGGAAAACGCACCTTATTGTGTATTAATGATATCCCTTATACCGGGAGAGCAAATACGTTCTTTACTTACTGTGTATAATTAAGTTGTAAATAAAGATGTAATTGAGGAGTTTTGGTCAAGGCGGTATCCATATCCAGTTAAAGGTAATAAGGTGAAGTTATCTATGCAATCAGAGAATATTTCCTCTTCAATCAAGCTAAACCACACCGCCGTTGCGTGAAAAGTTCGTCCGAACTTCAACGGTAAATTAACATGTGGAGGATACCAATCAGGGCCTGACACGAACTTCCCTTCTCTTCAGAGCACTTCAGAGACGTCTTTTAAAAGATCATGACTGATGGGACATTCGAAGTTTACTTTCCTATAGACTTAGCCCACCAAATCGCTCCAAAGGTATCTTTTCTTCTGTCATATACAACCGTAAAAGAGACCTTAGCAATTAAAAACACTACCATTTCATACTTACCACCCAAAGTGGGACTAGAAGGTCTCATTCGACACTGAATATAAGCTGATAGACTCTCAGGGGGGTGCATTAACCTTCAACTGGTACTTAAGGAGGGGGTTGGACTTACATGTCCGTCAAGGTTCTTCCTGCAAATGGTAAACAATTTCCCGAAGGTCCACCCGAGGAGAGACGTAGCTTTTATCAAACTTTGTGTACCTAGCTCTACATAATTAATCGTTTAACTTTTTTTGGAAAGGGAATTCAGTAGCTGTATGAGTCAACATTTTGCGTACATCCAAAATCACAGTTCCAACATGACACGAGTGTACTGAAGTAACTACAAAATAACTGCGTCAGAAGAGATTGAACCCAATTTCGTTATCGCCACTCGCCGTCAGAAAAGTGGCGCCAATTGCTCGAAAGCACCCCACACCATTTCGACCAATCAGTTACCGAGTACAAATTTTGACGAATCAGTTTCCGAGTAAAATGTTTCAATCCTATGGTGCGCATGACACTAAGCCTTAATGAAAAAATCCCCTCAAAAATTACAAATTTATGTTGCATTAGCTTTATTTTATTTTATTTTATTAAATTCTTTCTAAGTAGAAAGCTGTGTTCCTCTTGTACAAGCATGACCTGCGGACCACAACTTAGAAGAAAAGTAACGTTTTTCTTATTTTCCTTCGAGGTATGAACGGTAACAACTTGCAAATAATGATAAAACTATGTAGATTAGACAGAAAGGCAAGAAATGCAAGTGGCAGAAAAAAATATTAATCCTTACTGAGTACTTTAATTTTAATCTAAGCAATGTCCATTTGATTGGTAACCCGTTTGAGATAATTTAAAAAAATAAGGGTAATAACGTTGCAAATTAAGAGAGCACTACCAGCCTAAAGTACTTTTTGAAGAAAGGTTCCCTTATGGGCTACCAAAACGTTTCTGTGCAAAAATAGCTCTTTGTATAGCAAAGTAAGTAATGTACAGTTTTTACACTTTTTAAGCAGCTATTGGTAACTAACATTTTGCTGTCGCTAAAAAAACGCAGAAAACACTGATTGCGTTTCTGTAATCGCTGGTTACATCTGACACCTTTGAGAACCAAAATAAAACGAGTACCTCTCGCGGGTAATCATGGCGGCTATTCGTTCTAACCGTTTAAAAGAGCCGCTGTGCGTTTTTCTTTTTTTTTTTTTGTTGAGAGCAGCAAAAGGTTCTTAAAGGTATCAGGGTCCTTTGAGATATTTTATTTTAAACTAATATCCTTAAATATTACCTATTATTTAACAAAATAGATATAAAAATACGTTGAAATAGCGACGTTTAAATGCCAATACCAAACCAAACCTTGCCTAAACGTAATGAACAGTTGTTCAAGGTTGCGTCTTGGCTTTAAGTTTGAACTCTGTCATACATTAATTTGCTACATAATATGATTAAATTACGATAAAATATTATTTAGGTTTGTCGCTGTTTTAGTGTTTTAGTTTAAACTTCACCTTTTCGTGAATTCGTTAGAGGAAACTAAAAGGCAACAATACATAATGTAAAGCATATAAAACGGTAATAAGAATAAGAATAATAATAATAATATTAATAATAATAATATAACTAATCCAACTAATAATCTAACTCTAAAATATTATTTAGAGTAAACACGCTAATAACCTTCCCAAGATGCCCTCTTACTTTAAGGGTCTCCATACAGGGTGGGGTGGGGGGGGAGGTATAAAAGAGAGGCATATCATACAGGGGTACGCAGAATTCCAGGCGTTTTCGGTCTTGATTAAATTCCGACATCATTCCAGCAAGATTTAGGTTTGATAAGTTAGCACGCTTAATTTACATATCTTCGGTGAAACTAACGCTTGCATTGAATAATAGCGCATTATTTATAATACAAGAAAAAGGCTGGAAATCTCGTCAAAAATTACAGCCTGGGAATCTTGCGTTTAAAAGCTGGCTTCACAGTCTACGACGCTTTGAGGAGAAGTTTGTGGCAAGACGCGGCAACTGAAACGAAACTCAATGAACTCTTATGTCTGATACCCCAATCACACCCAAGCCGAGACCTGTGTTAGAAGCTGTTCAGTTAAACACGATTTAAATTTTTCTTTTCACTGAAGCAGCTTAAACCTGATATTTGTCTACTTCTTATTTAGCACGTTAAAAAAAATACAAGTTAGTGACAACTTGAATTCTTTGGAAAATTTAGTTTTTCATTTCTCAGTTTCTAATTTTCATTCTGTTAAATCCAGTTTAACCAAACATGTTTTGATGGTTGAATGAGGTATAATTTTGCCTTGGCCTCGGTCTTGATATGAGTTAACCAAGCTTGAGTCGAAGTGACAATCTAAGAGGCATTGGTCAAATTCGTTCCCATCGTTGACAGTATTTTATACTCTCTTCCACTGCTTTGGTCAGACTACAGATTCTTTTAGAATCATTATGAGCCGCGATATTGGGACCTTAAGTAACCACGACGGCGACGGCAACGAGGACGTGGAAAAACAAGAGATCTAATTGGCAGAACAATAGCTCAGCACGTGCATTTTGAAACTTTGTACATTTCTTAGCCGTCCTATGCAAAACAACAACGTGAAATCGCCAAAATTTGCGTCGTCTGCGAACCGAAACCGCGACGGACGGCAAATTATTTTAATTTCCATTTGGAACTCAACGCTACTTTTATACGTCATGCTGAAGTTGAGCTGTGGCGCCGTATGAGACAGTAAGCTCATGAAGCCATTTTTGAAATTCTAACTAAGAGTAGAAATTCATTTTTTAATCGAAGCCTTCCTTGGCTTTGCCGTCGTGAGTGCTTAAGGTCCCTATTGATAAAACCACGACATTTTGATATTCACACCGGCATTTGATATACACTGGCACAAATGCAATGATACTATAACTCCTCCATGAAAAGTAAGCCCTTAGTATTTCTACCTCTATTTGCCTCGCGAATCTGATCAGGAAAATCTATCACGGGCTGGACCTTTGAGAACGCTTTTCAAGGAGAGTTGGTTGTTGAGTAAATTGACAGAATGCATGACTGAACCAAGTAAAGCAATTCAAGGTTGGTCTCAGTTCAGTTACTGATTATCCCTGATCTCATATCATAACACTATAAAGCTAAGTTGTTTCTTTCAACCGCAACTTAAAGGAACCAACTGGTTCAAATGATGTTAAGGATCGCGCAAGTTGACAGGAGAAAAAGTCAGTATACCGTGACAACAACGGCTAAAATTGACTAATTAGCTAACGAACCGCCTGCCATGAGCCTTCTTAGCGTTTACACGGTATCAGTACGCCCTTGTAGCTCCAGACAATAGACAGGCCTTGGTATTTCCCATCGCTACGGTGTTGTAAATAAAATAAATGACTACTGAACTGAAATTGTTCTTATGGATATATATATAGCCTTTGATATATATATAGCGCAACCCAAGTTGATAAGTAGAAAACTTCATGGTTTTACTTGGTGGATCCAAAACTCATCAATCTTCATTTTGTATCAAGAATACGATTGGACAATTGCCTTAAAGACACTAGGTGGCGCGTGCTTCTGTCAAGCGAGAATTAGGGTGCTTGAATAGAACTGGTGGTTTATCGCCGCCCCGGTTGAAGTGTGAGCTGCGACAAGTATACACAGTGAACCGTGACCGACAAAGGATCTTATGAAAAGAGTAAAGAGTAGTTTTTGTTTTGGGAGAATGAATAAGCAAGATACATGAAAGAAAACCCTGCCTCGAACACGGGTATCTGATGTGTCAACCGTTAAAGCGAATAACAGGTGGCATTAAAACAGCGGACGAAAAAAAAAACAGAAACGGAAATAAAAGAAAAATAACCGGAAGCCAAGCTTAGTTCTCATTGAAAGAGGGGAAAAGGTGTCTTAAATTTTGCTTTTTCTTCTTCGATAAAAGCTCGTGATGGTTTTGCTCTGATAAATTCATTATCGTAATGAATGGAAAGTTCAAATGGAACAAATTTGGTTGAAACTAAACAATTGATCTGACAAGTGAAAATTACATTAGATTAAGGCTAATTCCGTTCCAACCTTAAATTTTTTTCCTCGCAACATATCTTCACCACTGATGAAGACAAAATTAACATTAATTTGGTCTGATAGTTAACAAAATTAAAATTTCACGTTATAGCACCCGACCGGAGAAACTTTTCTGCGACAGGTTGTGAGACAAAAGAAGAGGTTGGCGAAACGGAAAGTGATTTTTTTCAAGTCCTGCAACGAGTGAAGCAAACCCGTTGAAGAACTCGTTACGCAAACAATAACACGTAATCTTAACACAGCAAGAATATTTCAAATAAAAGATAGACGAAAGGAAATAAAAATGCTTTTTTTCATAATTACCAATGTTTACATGTCCGAGAAGTCAATAGATGGACAAGTTTGGTCAGCGTCGTACACCAAATAGTCATCGAATGTTGGCGTCTCCGGCAAAGTGGACGATGCTGACACGCCTAAGACACACGTTGAAATAACGGGCTCTTCTTTGCATCTTGTGCTGTAGATAACTTCCGGGATCGAACGCCACATGTTCCCATTGCTATGACTCCCGCTGATGCCAGATTTTGGAGAGAGCTCTTCTTGTGTTTCCCTGTAGCTTAATTCCTGAGTAATATCAGGTACTTCCCAAGTCAAACTGCTTTGAAAAGTACTCTCTCGGAAGTTGGTTTCCAGTTTGTGAGAAGGCGTGCGAGGAGGCGTAAATTCGGGTATTCCTGGTATGTGCTCCCTCGGTATCAGCGGGAACTGCAATTTCGGCGGAGTACGGGCTCGCGGAATTTCCACCATTAACTGTCCATGTTGACTCGGGCCCGGAGTCGAATAGCACGGTAACAACGCTGGCGGAAGACCCGGCGGAATATCAGAACATGACGGGGCTTCGTAGCCTTCGCTTCCGTGGTGTACGACAGGCGACAGAATCTCTGCGGAGGACATCGTCATCATTTCTTGTAACCCATCGTTTATGTATGTCTTCTCTTTGATCCTTGACTGAAACTGGCGGATTTTTTTCCGAGCCAGAACTTGAATGTGACTGGCGACTTGTTTTCGAGTTCGAACTTTGCCAGTTTTCATAAGTATATATCTCGCAATGAGCTCGTTTCTACCGTACATCTTGTCTTTGGTTGACAACATGATCTTTTGTCTTCCACACGGCGGGTAGATTGCGAGCGCCTCTTGAAAACTTGTTTCGATTTCTCCCGTCCATAATCCCTCCGCTTCACCAGACATGTCGTAGACTTCGGTAGAAAAAGCCGTTTTTTAATACACCAGCATATGTTACTGTTGCTTTTCTCGTGTCCTAAAGAAGGATTTCTTTGACATGGACTCCGACACCTCACGAAAGCGGCAAAACCTGTGAATTTTGAATTTGTGGTCGCCGTTATGTTACACAGACCAAGAGTAGTTTCACAAAACTGAGATCGTGGCCGACGCAGTTTTCAAGTGAACAGGCTATCCTAAACTACTACACTACTGTAATGGACAGCCCGCCCTTACGTACTTAGCGACGTTATCTTCCTTCCCTTTCACTTATTTCTATTTGACCAAAACCTAAAGCACTCCAGGTATATAGCGGTGGGTGCATTCATTATTAATTGGACTCTAAAGATCGCTTGCCTTAAATCATTAATGCTCTTATGAAGTTGACTGAAGAGCTGAAACGCCGTTAATATACTGCCACGGGAAAAGGGAAGAAATTATAGATTGAAGTGTTACAACGCCGATTGGAAGAAATGACTGTTTGAAAAATCATGTTTTGATGCGCAATTGCAAATATCGAGCTGTTGCATACGGTACAAAATTTTGGACCCGAGCTGGTTCTATGAATTCTGATTGCCAATGAAACTTGTTAACTTTCTTGCTTAGTTGAGCAATTCTGCCTTGATGTGCTCATTGGCATGTTTTCTTCGAGGAAATAAGACAAAAAACAACAACTGAAAGAGCGCCTCCCCAGAGAAACTGTTCCGGGCCACTCAACCCTTTCAGTTGAGAAGCCTACTGAGTGTCTGTCAAAACGTGTCAGCAGATGTGACGCAGACAGTTGTGTCTCAAAGAGAGTGAGCATTCAGTAACATAAAAGCTAGCGGCTACCACCTTTTTCGAAGACGGTTCGTTTTTCCGACAGCATTTTGAAATTTTTGGTTGAAAATACATTGTTATCTCTCCTTTTTTCTACCTAGCCCTCGGACACTTTTGTATGTGAAAGGGTTTCAGCGAGGAGGACTTGAAATAATTAGAGACCCGTTTAATTTTACGCTTCATTAGCGTTTTAAGCAAGCCAAGCAGGTGAGGTCGTTAATTAGTGACGAGTTAAGGGTTCTCCCTTGATCTCTGATCGCGCTGGTTGTTTGCACTCGGTGTACTCCCGGCCAATTTGATTTGCAATTCAGAGACAGAAAGTTCTGATTGACACAATGGTGGTGGGGCCTCAAAAATCATGTTCAGCCCTTCACTCCCAGGGGGTCACCAACTCATAATTCCTCATCACAACAGCTCCGTGTTTTTAAACAGAAGGGTGATGGAAAAAATGAAAAACAAAATCAAATTAGTGACTATTGTCCGATTGAACACCGTTTGTTTCTCAGAGCGAGAATCATAAGAAATGTGTGGCTGGCTAAGTAAAAAAAGTCAGTATCTTTAGATCTTGAAAGTGAAAGAGTTAAGCAATTAGTATCGTTACCAAAGTAGTAACGGATCTGGTCTTTTTTGTCATTGAGTGTGATCAGATGACGTCCTTCTCAAGGAGCTTTCGCAGTGAACTGCTTCAGGTTTGCTCCTCTTCCCAGGTTATTTCTAAAGACCAACTGCATTGATTGAGACTCAGGACGCTCATTAATCAAGCAATGATCAATCGATTTAAACTTTTTTTTTCTTTTAAGTGAATTAAACATAGCATTTGATTTTATTTAGTTTTGTACATCACCCGTCAACAACGTTTATAAACAAAACCTACCATTTTTTTTTTGGCAAATTGCAACGTTTTGACATATATTTTGAAAACTACATCTCTTCTTGAGTTTGTGATTGGTTGGGAACTGTGCTATACCAGGTAATACCACCTACGGTTTTTCTCAACGTTTTCACCAATTATCCAAATGAGAAATAAGGGTGTTTGTCTAAACTTAACCGCTTTCCAATTGAAATGAGGAGCTGGGTCGAAACGGTGTCAGTCAAACTGTTTTTGTTACGACCTGCTTCTTGCTCCAACGGGCGTGTTAACATCGGGCAAGACATATGTTCCAGTTCTGATCATCTGTGATTGTTCATAACAACACATTTGTCCTTGTCTTAACTAAAATCCTGATAAAAAAGCGATTTTTTTTAAGTCATCCCGTTGAAAAAACGAATGACATGTGTTATAAACAAATCTAATTTCTCGATTCTATCGATTGATTTTTTAATTATTCATATTGGTTGTCATATCAAAACCCCAATTAGGATTCATACCCTTGACTTCGTAACGCCTGAATTGTTGACGACGCTTTCGAGAACAGTCACGAAACCACTTAGTGAAGCGATTATCTCAAATGGCTCATTTTACAATAAAAGAAGAAGAAAAAAAGGGAAAAATATGGCATCAATGGAAAATAATTTTATAATGGCTGAAACGCTTGTTTTCTAAGCTCAAACAACGTCGGGTATTGAACTATATTTTTTTTTTCTTTTCAAGCCCGGAAAATAAAAGAAAGTAAGAGTTCTACTGAAGCGACTGAAAATGATATAATGTATTTGTCTTCAGGCACCTTGTATTAGTTTTCAAGGTGACCACAATGATAATTGACAGCTCTAACTATTTGAAGCAAGACATTTGACCAGTGTTTTAAAAGCGCAGTGCAATCTAAAAAGGCCATATTGACGGCTGATTAAGCATCCTTCCATATAGGTCACAAAGACCGGAAAATATCATCCTAGAGAACAGTGTCATGCACCGCGTGTTCAAGTCAATGGGGAAAGCAGAGTTTCCAAGCAGGTTTTGAGCCAAAAATAACTAAAAATGAAGAATAGAAGACCAGAGATACTTAACTTTAGTGTTGGTAGAAATATAAAATGTCTTCTGTCACGGTAATTCTTTCAGACCCAGGCGACACGCCACACGACTTATCTCTTTCTTTCATTTCTCTTTCAGAAGTAGATTTTCTATTTTCTCATATTCGTTGAAAATTCCAAATTATAACTATACATACATACATACACATATATATATTCTGTATGCGAGGGAAACCCTGACCCTGTACACCCCAAATAATCGTACTTAATTAGAATAAATGTTTGAAAAGAAAATTTGCCCCGAGCGGGATTTGAACCTACGTCCCTCCTGTCACTGGTCAGGTGTGATGACCACTACACTATCACTGGGACAACCATGCTGGCAACACGGCAATCAAAGATGTGATTTACGTGATCGGAGACGTGGTCTCCCGGGAAATTTCCGTGGTCTCCCCGTTAAATTTCCCGGGAGATCACGTCTCCGATCACGTAAATCACATCTTTTACTGCCGTATTGCCAGCATGGTTGTCCTGATAGTGTAGTGGTCATCACACCTGACTAGTAGCAGGAGGGACGTGGGTTCAAATCCCGCTCAGGGCAAATTCTCTTTTCAAACATTTATTCTATTTATATATTATATATATATATATATATATATATATATATATATATAGTCGTTAATGGAACTCTCAGGCCAACAAAGGTGCACCGCGCCACGAGGATCAACAAAGATTCGCAGTCCAAACCTCACAGCCAACACGAACGTAGTTTAAAAAATTGCGAGGATGGACAACTTCTGACGTAAAAAATATAAAAAATTTTAATAAAAAACGTTTCGGTCGGAGACCTTCTTCAGTTATTTACAACTTTTGAAATAAAAAAGAGCATTAAATAGGTTCGAAGTGCTAATGATTACGTAATTACAGATAACGACTTATGAAGTGGAGCTAATAAACAAAAAACCTAATTACAAAGAAAGCAATGGACAAAATGCAAGAAACAAACCCTAAAAACTGAGATAAGAATACTAAATATGTTAATATGAGTGGCGTAACCAATTGCAAAGAAGCAATGCGGCGAGCATTAAAAAAGGGAAGGCCCACTTTTTACTACAACTGTAAACCGTAACAAAATCCCAAAACAAGGCCTTTGGAGCCCGAAAGGGCAAATTAGCAACAAAATCCCTGGAGGGGCCCTTAAATGATACTAATCATAATAAGATACGTTGGCAGGGCCTCTGAGTCCAATCCACACCTGAAGGGCCGACAAAATCCAAGAAAAGGGCCTTTGAACGATCAATTAGTAGCGCCTAATATAAGATGGAAAATTAATTATACCAATTTCTATTTTTCGAATGAAATTCCTTTTTTTTATTCAAACCATGGGGTGCCAAAGAGAACAACTGAGCACTCCAATAAGCCTCTTTTGTGATTAACAGCCTATCGATCTCTGCAGAGCCACTAGGGGCCTGTACCTGACCAATGCATTGGAACGAAAATTCGTCCAGGGTGTGTGGCGTTTTTTTGAAGTGTATCGCTACTTCACAAGTTGTTTTGTTTGTGAGCATAGTAGATTTGTGATTTTATATATATATATAGAGGTAACCATATCGGTTCTCACCCATCCTAGCATCAGCACTGCACTGATGAGGCCCAGTAGGCCGAAACAGTGAAGACCTTCTCGTGCTGTTGTCGCTACTGCCTAGTCAAAGTGTAATATACGGAATCCGATATTTTTCAGGTTAGTTTGCCCTCTGGGCCCTCTTTTCTACTTTTGCTTTGTGTATGATAATGGATTTAACAATGAATGAGGATGGACTGGAAGAAATGTTAAGGATTGGCAACGAAAATGTTCAAGACCGCTCAACCGTTAATGGCGACTCATACGCTTCAAGAGCTGCTCGCACTTCTGATATTACAAGTGAAACAAGACCGCCACAAATACGGTTTTCCGAAAACAGCAGGCCTCAAAGGCCGAAATCTGCCTTCTTTATACCAAACAAGAATACAAGCGCCCGTACTGTTTTTGATGCTTTTGCCGAGTGTAATGTCTCTCCGACCGACATTCAGTTTTTACAACGTAAACTCAACGGTGAAGTTGTGGTCACCTTCAAATCTATTGCCGCCAAAGAACAGTTCCTACGCCTAAATTATTTCAACATTGATTCCGAACCTTTCGCCCTTAAAGACATCGACAAACCGCTCACTTTCCTAACTATCTACGACGCTCCTTTCGAACTGTCTGAACTTGCAATAATTAAACGCCTTACGCCCTACTGTGAAGTCATTCATTATCGCCGAGGAAAACACTCGTACGCGCCCAACATTTATAATGGTCTCCGACATTACAGAGTCCGTATCATTAAGCCCATCCCCAGCTTTCTTCGTTTTGGGAATTACCAGGTGCCGAAATTAACTAATTGATAGGTGCAGGAGACGGGACCTCCAGCTTTACGTCCTATTCGAGAAGACGAAGCAATGTGAGTGAAGCGTCTTGCTTAAGGACACAACGTCAAGCCCCAGCCAGGACTTAAACCCGGGCCATCTGACCCCTAGTTTTACAACTAAGTGAGGCGTGAGTAGTCCAGTGGACTACTCACGCCTCACTTAGTTTTGCAACGGTCCTGGGCCAAGACACGTAAAGGTCGAGGTAAATACTACTTCATACGAAGGAACAGAAGCAAACAACTAAGCTGAACCTGTAACTCAAAATATTCACATCTGAAATTCCTTTGCTGTTAAACTTGGAAGACAACATGAACGAATAAAAACTACATACGCTTTGTGAAAGTTGCAAAAGCAGTTGCCTACTGTAGTAGCAAAAAAAGTTCCAGCACATAAACATATTGCATGTTGCATTGAAAATCAGTACAAACTAGTTTGAGTTTTTTCTCCTACATGGCACACTTGTCTTTCTGGGAAAATAAAATGACAAAAAGCAAACTTGCTCAAATAAAGTAGAGCAAGTACTATTACTCAGAACAACAAGTTTCATTTCACTATAAAATGACAGGATTGACACATTCTCTGAGTCCATATCTGTTAAAAAAAAATAAATCCAAGAACACAAGAATAAAATTCACGAGCTTTATTAATCATTACTAAACAAGACAGAAAGGAAAAATAATGCAACAGAAAATAACAAGTTCTTTGTACATGGCACTTTAAAAAGCTACGAGTTTGCAGCAAGGAAAGTTCGTATTCTAATCAACATCTCTCTCTTCACTTCATCAGGGACCAGAGCTGCAAGTGAGAAAGAGAAAATAGTCATTTTATTTCTGGGTTTAGCATTTTATTTCTGGGTTTTAGCATTTTATTTTCTGGGTTTGATAAAATGCTGACATCCGATCTCAACCTTAACAACAACACGCAATATTACTGTAATTGTATCGGCAAAGGTAATAAATAATAATCATCATCATCATTGAATGATGATGATGATGATTATTATTTCTGGGTTCATGGTTGTGGTGAGGATGAACACATCCTGCATTTGCAGTCATGTAGCCCTTTTACTCCCAGAAGTGATCAATGGTTAATTTCTCCGTACAATATCAATGCATTTCCAAACAGAGAGGTGATGAGAAGAAAGCAAAATATCAAGACGTAAAGCATATTCTCAGAACTTAAATTACCAGAAATTTATGACACTTAATGCAAAGAATTGATATTTATAAATGGGACTATAAGGGCTAAGATGGTCAGATGGCCTGAGGGGCATGAGCTTCAGTCACTGTGCTGTGTTCTTGGACAAGACAAATCCCTGCTAAAATTCAAGTTCAAGTTGATTGCAATGAGGTTTGAAATTTAAAGCAAAGAAGGGGTTTTGTTTATAAAAGTTCATTTCTAAATCATAAACATAAAGTTTAGCAGAAAAACTTGAGTGTTGAAAACAAAACTTGACTGTTGAAAAGAGAACTTCTTAAGAGATCAGTGGCACTGTCCTGTTTTCTTGGACAAGACTGACCCTCACATTGCCTCTGATCTCTCCCTTATGGGTATTAGCAGACTATCAGGGAAACTTCTCAAGAAGGAGAAGTAGCAGTATTGCCAATCAAAAAATAATGGACATCCCTCTATTTCATACAAGGAGGGTCACAGAGGAATACTCTTGACTACTCTTTGCCACTTGCAGTCTGACCAGTAATTCTGTTTGAAAAGGTAGAGATTCATTTGATATCTGCACACCAAACTTGTTAATTTGCCAGGAAAAAAAAAACTAAGTAATTTCAAACACAATAACTTTCTCGAGCATGCCTTACCTCTTCCCTTTGGCGTTATTTCAGCCACTAAATCATCAACTGTCACATTCTCAAGTCCTTTTTGTTTGATAACATCTGCAAAAATGATTGAAAAATATACACAAGTACAGTTGCTCAAATTATGGCTGCAAAGAGTTGATTTAAGATAAATATATCTCATTGGATGTTTTGGTGTGTAGTTCTACTGAGTTTATTGATGAGCCTGCAGGGTAATCAAAATAATAACAACAAGTTAAAATACTCAAATGACATTGCACACCAAAACATGTCATAAGTTATTTGTTATCCAATTGCTTTATTTTAAGCATATTTCTTGTAACAATATGGGAAAAGCAAAGCTCATAGAGAAGCATTGCATGCATAGCTGACCAGTCAAACTAGTGTTTTACAGTACAAAATAACCAACTGTCCAAATATCACATGATATTTGTACTCTACTTACACATTTTTGTTCCCTACTTAGTGCAGTTGGATAATTAAACTTATTACTGACAAACTAAGTCCTAGGATTTCTGGCTGAAGTTTCTCGTAGATTTTGATCTATAAGTACATGTACACTCTCACCAAAGGTAAGAAACTGTCATTTCATAAAGTATGGTTATCTTTTGTCATTTTATTAAAGAACAAAAAAAAAAGCAATCATTCAAAAGACTAAGACCTTTCCTGACCTTTACAATGACTCCTTAATTTATCCCGCCATCCACACTCTATGAGTTTGGTTCTCAGAAGCTCTTTCAATCTGCACACAAATCATGTCAAAAGTTATTGATAACAGCAGAATACAAGATTTACAGTTTACCTTAAAAAAGGCTTGACCAAATGGTAGTCAAATTATTTTTGGTCCACAACCTGCACCTAGATGTAGTGTACTGCATAACAGATTGTATTTTAAAGGAACATCTTCCATAGAGAAGGATGCTAATGCTAATGACTAGTGTTGTAGAAAGAAAACATCTGAATTCACCAAATAATCTTTCACTCTTAGACATGCTGACTTCGCGCACAGACGCTTCAAAGACTAGGCTAAAGAGAGATCATTAGCAAACTAAACCATGCACTAGGTTCATAAATGACAAGCACAACGCATACTACTTAGATTAGCTACAGCGTGCTCAATGCCAAAAGAACGAAGAAAAGTTTACATGTACTGTGACAAGTGTCCCCTAACAACGTTAGGTTTACAAAAAAACATGTGAAATGACATTCAGTGCATTTCTGGCCACGACACTTCTCGTTTAATCAATCTGTACTGGCTTTTGACGCATTTTAAACTCGTTAGGCAGAATTCTACCCACAAAGTGGCTAAGAATAAGCCAATCTTCACGAATTGTATTCAAGCGCGTTCGATAACAATAAGCCTACGATTAGACAAAGTTAACTGCAGTTTACCTCTCTCGTTCCCCGGATTCTACCAACTTCTGGTTTATAGAAGCAGAAAGCTGACTATCCTTTATTCTCCTGCAGCGAAAACAAATATATTTAAAACACATAAAAACTAAAACTGATCAGCCAAAACTTCCAATACATACTCCACCATTTTGCTCTCCAAATGGATGTATATTCATGTATAGCAGTCACGAAATCTTCGATCCCAGGCCCCTGCAAGCCAACTGTGGTTCAAGAAGTAAACGGTGTAAGTCGTGTTAATGTCGTTGATGGTGGGGATGAAAACTAGAAAATTTCTTGAACATACCTCTTAACCTTAAACTAGGTAATCAGGTAGAAAATCTGTTACAAATATCCTCTCTCAAGTAATCCTGGTTCCAAAAGTTTGATGACACCCATTGAGTCTGCCTTCACACTCAGTCGTCTTGATAAAATCAAACGACCCCTCATGACCTTCAGCAGGGTTTTTTCAATTTTGCTTTAAAGATGATTGGACCTTTATAAAAAAGTTTTTTTTACAAATTAAATGTACATAATAATTTCATGGGGTAGTTCTTGCTAGTTGAGAAAATTTTTTTCAATCATACGCCATCACTTTCCTGCATTAACACTAGAAATTCATGACCTGGAAAAATTTTAATTTCAAACTCATTAATGCAAAGGTCACTGCATAACCACTCAAAGGAGAATGCAGAGGGAGAAACTGTATTTAGATGGAAAAGATCTACAATGAACACTTAGGTAACAAGAATCTTGATACTTTCAGGAAATGGGGCCTAATATAACCCAGTAGTGTATTTCTACTGAAGCAAGAGGACATAAGCTGTTGTTCCTCTAACTGTGGGTAATCAATAAGTTAAGTTTCAAGACAAGACTGTCTATCCATGGATTATAGAAGGGTAAAGAACTGTAGGGACATGGTAATAAGACCATTGTCTCACACCTGTCATGTTACTTTTCATGACACAACGTCTTGAGCAATGCTCATCAAACAAGGTCCAACTTCCTCAAAGACAATGCGCAGCAGAGGCTAATTTGCAAAAAAAGGAGAAAGGGAAAGGAAATAACTTGGAGGATGAAGCACTGCCATTCTGTTTGGAACTGAAGTAAGGACCCTGCTTCATATTCTCTGAGCCTTTGATGCTCTTTTCATAAACATGTAAATAGGCAACCTTAAATAAAATATTTTTAATCACTTTTAAAAAATTGTAGTTCAAGCAGATCCACACTGACTAAGCTTGCCAAAATATTATGTACAAAAAAGACAGTTAATCACAAATATATGGAATAATGTTTACAGTTTCTGTAGAGTTAGCAGTTTTTTAGTTTCAAATAAATTATTTGTTTTCCAGTGAGAATCTCATCATTCAAATGCTGTTATAATAACATGGAAACACAGGCATGTGGTGTCTCTTTTCAGAATTCCGGAATACATTTCAGAGTATCCTGTGTGTAGCCTTACTTAACGACAAACTCTGACCTAGATTTCATGAGATGGATACCCAGTATCTCTAACTGGATATCTTTTACTGGCACACAACATGCATCCTGCAAAAGCCACGATGTCCATTTCAATTCAAGAAAACATCACCTATACATCTCTGCACTAGAAAGTTAAGAGGCAAGCTTCTTTACAACAGGATAAAAACGTTTCCTAATTCCTAAATTCCTGGCCAGTTATGACTCCCCATCTATAAGAAATTTTTTAACAACAAGCAGCCATTCATTTTCATTATCCATAACCATTCTTAAATATCCACTTTGCATTCACAATTCAAGCCTTCTACAATAAATAGCCCATTGTATCTTATTATGGAATAATCTTGTTTCCTGCTTGCACTGTTGGTATAATTTCCTGTCTGTATTCTAATGGCAAATACTTTTCAACCAATGAGTCCAGTGACTGCTTGTCTGTTATAAACCCCTGCCTGAAAAAGAAAAAACAAAAACAAAAACTGACCACAAGATTTCATATAAGTGTACCTGTAATTCTCTTTATTGTTTGCTAAACTATTCTTAAGATGTTAGTTTTGAGAATTTGGTGATGGACCAACCAATAATCCCCTAAATTATTTATTTCTTAATTTTTATCATTTGTCTGCTCAATGTTGTAATGATATTGTAAGGAGAAATTCTGTCTTGGTCACTGATAGGAGTTTTAAAAGAGTCAAGCACTCTTTGCTTTTCTGTCTTTGCTCTGAATGCAAACCTCAAGAACAGAAAAAAAATCAGGTTAAACTTTCCAATCAGCGAGTAGGGAACTCAGCCTCAAAATTATCCCAAAGTCGCTCTATTAAAAGTGTTTATCCAAGTACATGTACATATTAAGTTTTCAAATGCTATCCTTTTCTTTGATCTAATGAAAGAAGATACAAATAGCCTCTAATTTTCCCAGAATCTCATCAATATAAACTTCTAATTAAGTGCACTACATGAAGTTTGTTTATGAACACAAATGGTACATCAAGTGTCAATACATTTTACCTTTTCATGAGAAGTTCAACATCAGCCAGCTCAATGGTAGATCTGTGAGCATGCTTACAGTATGCCATCAGGTCACTCGATACTTGCTTGAAAAACAGGTTTGACCTGGAAAACAATAATAAATCATATTACATTAGTTTATAACCCTTGCACATATTCATGTCAGAAGAACTTATTTCACCCCAAGCCTTTATTAAAGGTACAGTCTGGTAATTTCTTTTAACTGGACAGTATAGCCATTAAAGATCTGCTGCTCTAGTAAGCATGCAGTTAGTGTACCCAAGGAAGGTATTTCTTGATTGAATGGGCGTGCTGTATAAAGCTTTGAGTGACTCAACATGTAACATCTACTTCTCCCTTTCTCTGATGAGGGAAAACACAACAACTTACAAGGAGAATCTAGCAGTCCATCATCAGAAGTCAATTGCGTTTCTTTCATTTTTGCACCCTTCAATTGTCTTCTTACTGACAAGTAACTATTTGTCACTTTACTTCCTCATTTCGATAATGTTGATAAACTTAACTTTTACGATAATTACCCATTTTCAACAGTTTCAAGAGCTTCTTTGGAGACTTTAGCTTGGCTAAAATGCTGAAAAACACTCTTTATAAGGGAAGGCGGCATTCTTGGGCCAGTAGGCTTCCTTAAAAATATTGAAAAAAATTCACATGAATATTAAAAACATTTGACTATAAAGTTTCCAACAAAAAAACTAAAGTGCAGTAACAAGCACACTGTGCGAAATTAGATTTTCAGCTACAGTAAAGTAAAACAACGATGAGGCTTCTCACTCAGAGAAAACTGTGACCAAAATGGATTTTCTCCTTACACTAATTATCACTATTAAATCATACAGACAAGTGAGGAGAATAAAGAAATTAAAATATCAATTAACGGGATAATGAGTTGATCAAATACCAAGTTCTTTGAACTAACATCATAAGAATTGTATGGCAGACGGTGAGGAGGAATTACATGTACTAAATATTGAGATCTTTGGAGAAAAAGGGCTGCACTATACTCTAATGACTCACTTCTATTAATTGTCATTCAAACACACATAAACTGACTGTAAAAAAATTGCAGATGTAATCACAGTTGAAATTATTGTCATCCAGGTTTTACCTTTGGCTAAGTGACAAGGAGGTCTTCACGATGCACAAAAGAAATGAGAGAAAGAACTTACTTTGGAACTTTAGTTCCTTCCTTTCCTTTAGGAGGTTTTCCTTCAAACAGTGGTCTTTTCCCTTTGGAACTAATTTCAAAACATTAACCTTTTAACTCCAAAGAGATTAAGGCTATTCTACCCATATATTATCCAGGAAACTGGTGATGAGAGTACTCAAACTCATCAGCCAGAGGTTGTTATCTTGATGTAACCCTGATTCTTGTAACCAATTTACACGGAAATGTATTGCACCTAGAGAGGAGAGTTAACAATCCCATCTTGGGAGGTTTAAATAAAGGAATTGTTTACGCCTTTCTAAATACTACATCATCCCATCAAAGCATGTACATGACTGTAAAGCATTGTCTAATACTGTCATAACACTGTTTTCAAGGTCAAATAAGTTTTTATAAAATGACTGAGATATTGCTAGCACCCTGACTGGTCAAAAACCTATAGTTTACTGCACTAGTTAACCCATAGTTTATTTTATGAAAGCAATAGTGCACTTTCTATTAGTTTACCAGCATAATAGCTCATGTAGTATAGATATCTTATTAACCAAGTGCGAGGGCCATACAGGGAGAATATCGGCCAGAGGTCTTGACAGTATGGACCGAGCACAGCTCGGTCC